TTTCAGGACCCGCTGCGTGTGGACAGCGCCGCCCGGGGCTCAGCCTCCCTCCGGGCGGGGGCGGGGCGGGAGCTCACCTGCCAATCATGCCTCACCAAGCCAATCAGAACGGGGACATTCGGCCCTAGCCCGAAGTACTGCCCTATTGGTTAAGCAACCCACGGACTCCGCCTGATTAGCCGGTACCTGGGCAATGGGAGAGAATGGGGGGCGGGGCCCAAGCGGCGGCGCCACGTTCATTGACAAACGCGTGGGGAGAAGGCCTAGTGGATCGCGGATGGAAAAGGGGGAGAGACAGAACAGGGCCCACTCTGTGTCTGGAGAGCCCGGCTCTTGATCCCACAGAACCAACCTTTCTGCCGTTGGGATTCTGGGATTGAGAATTAGAGAATGAGGGCAACCAAGACAGGGGACGAAGGGTGAGGATGAGAGAGAAGTCTCCAGAAGGCAAAAAGAAAGAAAAGCACCCACAGTTGTTGGAGGAAGTCGTGTAGCGCAGTAGAGATTCGGCTTTCAGTCTAGGTTGAGGAGTTACGTGTGTATACCTGCCGCTTCAGACTCATTTTGCTCCTCAGTAAAATGGCCAGTTTAGTGAAGGAGTCTTTGATGCTGGTTCCTTCCAGTGGAAAAAAATCCTAATTTTTTCAAGAATCTACTAAGCGACGGCTGCCGTCTCCTCTGTATCCCCCCCCCATTCTCTCCAGAGTCCCCAGTGATGCATTAACCAAAGGCAGAGTTGGGGAGATATTTGCTTTGAGGTTACCAGAAATTGGGGCAGTCTCGAAAACTTGGACCAGGTTGTCTCAAGCAACGGAGCCATAAATCCTTTTTGCAGTCTCAGCCTAGGAGCTGATAGGTCCCTTGGGAGCTGGTGATACTCTCAGCTCAAAGCTTCTGTCAACAAGAGGATTTCCGCATCTGGTGCAAGGCCTCCTTTAAAACGGAAGGCGGGCACTGGCATCCAGCGCTAATGAGAGCACCTGAAACCCGCGACTATGTGGTTGCTTTCGTTTACAAGAGCCTGGCAGTGTGGCACCAAGACGACTACAAACGCTGCAGTTTCCAATTGCCAGGAAAAGCTGACCTTCCCTCACCGTAGCTCCTGTAGACTTTAGGACAAAACAGAGTTCCAGCGACATTCTGCTGATCCAGCAAAGTTCTTTAGCCAGCCCACGGCTCAGTTTCTCAGGAGTGTAAGGCTCTCAGACCGTAATCAGAGCTGCTGGACTTTTTAAAAAAGGAAGTATTTTCACTTAAGCAGCTATCCTTCCGTGAGCCCCCTAGTGTGCTAAGACCCAATGCAGACACTGAGCATCCCCCTGCCCCAGCAGTTGTGGGAGTGTAGACTAAACATTCACCCCTTTGTATTGTAAGTGATGACCCTCTGATGCTAAACATAAATCCACCTGAACAAGGACACTGAGATGTCTGCTGCAGTCATAACACAGAGGGGATAGAGCTCAAGCTGATCTTTGGAGGACCCTGGGGCCATTTTTCCTATTTACTTTCTGCCTGAATCTTTCTTCATTGTCCAGTCTTCCCCCCTTGCTCCACTTCTAACATCTCTATACTAGGTCAATCCTTGGGTCCACTCTCTAGAGCTGTCTTGGTCGCAGCTGCCTGGTACAAGTAGGCAAGGTTCCCCTTGCTGACACCATCCCCACCCCCACTGGGCCACAGCTGCAGGAAAACGGCCAAGGCTGGTCTCTGGGGACTCAGAAGGCTGTGGTGTGCAAGGTGGTGGGTGGTAGCTTTCTCTCTCCATCATCTGCAACCCCTCCCAGTCCTGATCCTTTGCCCCCCACACCCACCTCTGCCTTAGGGCCGAAAGGTTACAACAGGAAAAAGACTGATGGCAGAGGGTTCCTTTGGCTTTCTCCTGTAGCTCCGCAAGAATTCATTTCCAGGCCAGGTATGGGACTCTTAATTCCCACTAGTGAGTTCAAGAGTACTGCCCCGGAGAAGCAGCCAGTGATACTGCATGCTCCTAACCATGCTCCTTGAGCTTCCAAACCCAGACCTAGGATCTTAAAACTGAAAGGGTTCTGGGGCAATGTCCCTCCCCCACAACACACACTTTACAGATGTGGAACCTGAGGGTAGAAGGCAGGAAACAATTTATCTGAGATCATACTAGAGCAAGTCTGAGACAGAGGGAAGGCTGAAGGCTAGAGGGGAGGAGATGTCAAACCAAATAATTCATCTGGACAAAGTCTGAAGGGGCCAGTTGTCCTGTATTGTTTGGAGAGAATCCCCAGCGAACTCTGAGGGCAGGGTGAAACTGCAGATACCATTTTAGCAGGAACAGCCCAGATTCCCCCTTTAACAGGCGGGGATGTTTATCTGCAGGGGTGTGTTCTCCTCTGTGGAACCCACCCTAATCAGTGAAGGAAGGTAGCCCCTCCTTATACTTAGTGATCTTGGGTCAGAGGAAATTTCCTTCGGAGTGGGTTTTCTTTGTCACTCCTGGAGTGTCTGAGCTCTGAGAACTTCAAATACCCAAAGAAGTGAAGAGTCCTGATATGGACTCAGTCCACCCAGTCCATCCTTATTACAGGCTGCCAAGCAGTGGCCCAGAGAGGTTCCATGACCAGTCTGAGGTCAAACAGCTGCTCCCTACTAGAGCTCTGCTTCCATGCCTTACTTTTGCCTTCATCTGCAGCCTGGGTCCAGGAGGGGCTAGCAGAGAGCTACACAGAGGGCATAGAGCTATGGAACCAAACCACCATGGTGGTGGTGGGGGGCCAGGACAAAACAAACAAAACGCACAACATATTTCAATTGATTAATTGCTTTGTCAAGTTTTGCCTGTTGGAAGAATGACCATTTTGAGAGTATTTCAGAAGCCAAAACACCTTTGAAGAGGGGGCTTCTCTCTGCACTTGAGACTTTACTTGATGGGGGTCACATGCCACACCCAACCCCTCCCCAGCTCCCCATCACTCCCTCCAGTCTTCAGAAAGTCAAATCCTCATCATGCTGGTGCTGCTATGGAGTTCTAGCCTGAGAGTGACTCTTGCAGCTCAATTCCATCCCATTTGCCTGCTCTTTCTTCCAATAAAGCAATGTCTTTCAAGACTCAGACTGGGTGCTCAGTTGGGAAGGATCCGAGCTGCCTGGGCACTATCGTTCTAACCTGATGGGTTCTTTTTAACCTTTAATTTGAAAAAGTATCAAAGAGGAAAAGCAACTGGTCTGCAATTGCACAGCAAATGGAGCTTAGAGACGCCCGTCTGATTCCTGAAAGTGGATCAAGAGTCTGCCCTCCCTGGCCTGAGTTATGTTGCAGGAATCACTGGGGAGGAGAGCATTAAATCAATGCTCACATTTCCTGTGCTGAGACTTGTCACCCCGACCAGCCTGTCCTTGCAGAGCTGGAGCACCAGGACAAAGTCTCTCTCCCAAGACTTAAGACTTAGCAGTTCTTTCTCCTAAGGCCTCAGCTTCTAGTGCATGAAACAGAGAGAACAGGATGCTCTGGAGTGTTTCCCAGAGCTTTGTGAGATGCCATCCCATGCATGGGAAGTGCTATTCTCCCTGCATCTAGACCTAGTCTTGTTTGGTGAGCATCATAAGCTCCTGCCCTCTGAACCTCCACCTCCACTTTTAAAAGGAAGGGGAAAACTGTTTAAGTGGCTCCCTGATGTGTGCTGGCCTTGCTTAGCATTGGGTTTTGAGCTACAGAGACACTAGGAGTGAGGGAGCTGGGTTTTGGAGAAGGGATGCTGTGTGATTCTGGAGGAAGGAAAGGACAGCTTGGTGGCCCATGAAAGGCCTAGAAGTTGAGGGCCATTTGAGTGCCTGGACAGTTCCTCAGTCCCTCCTCTGTCCTAGTCTGAGTCCTGAGACAGGCAGAAGGGTACTCTGGCCTGAGCTGTGACTGCATTCCAAGCAGGTGGCTTTTACCCTAACCCATCAGTAAGGGGTGTGGCTTTTAGGATTGAAGCTCCAAAACCCCCAGGATTACCCCTACACAAACCCCACCCAGTCTAACAGCACAGAAGAGTGAAATGCTTTATTGATTAAATGATTATTCAGGCGATTGAACTAATCAAAGAGCCCATCGACCGCCATGAATTACATTCTTGTGGTAGACAGCTTGTCGGGAGAGGCAGCCACTCAGACCCCTCTCGACTCACATGCATCCAACCCATTTCCAACAATAAACAACCCAGATACAAGTACCTTTGGGCATCCCACCACTTGGAGCAGGGAAAGTTGTCTGGGAATGAAGAGGGGAGAGGGACTAGAGTTCCAGGTTTCTGCATCTCTACTGTCACAGCAACGAGCAACGCTCTTCTGGCCACTGTCCTCGCTCTCTTCTGTTGTGTCTTTTCTGGACCCACAAGAATACTGGTTTGGGGTCTAAATTTTCTCTTCTCTGCTCTTAGACTTTTTTTTTTATCAAGAGCTGGAGTAGAACTGGGATCTCACAGATGACCCAGGAATGAGAGGAGTGGGTTTCCTGCCATAGTTCAGAGTATTTGTGTGCACATTGACACGGGGCTTAATGAGAAGAGGGGGTTGTCTTACCAGGCTATGCCTTAGGGTAGACAGAGGCCTTCTGCTCTGCCTCATCTTCTCTGACATAAAC